CACACACACACACACACACACACACACACACACACCTTGCAGTGGTCAGCCCACTTTGAACCTCATCCCCACGGTGGTTGTGTGCAGCAATCATACATCTTACTTGCTTTCTATCTCCACACACAACCAACCCATTATTACTGATTGAGACTAAAGTTCATGTCTCTTACACAAGGTTTACACCAAGCTGTTATTTCAGTAAAATAGTTTCACTTCAATGGGTTTTCCCTGTACCGCCTCTCTCCACCAGGCCGAAGCAGTACTTCTGAAAGCCATTTATTCTATCACATAATTTTGGTAAATAAACAATGATATTTTTAAAGTGAGGCAGTTTATTTTTTAAGCACATTTCTTACTCAGTGGTACAATTCAAGGTGCTATACAGGGACATTAAAATCAACACAGAGACAACATTTAAAGAAATCAATTCAAAATTAGAAAGCAAAATAAAAGAGATTAAAACAAGAGTACTAATAATAGGAACTTTATTTGTAAAGCACTTATCTAAACAAGTTTATAAAGTACTTCACACACACACAAAAGAGTAGATTAAAAGAGTTCAAGAGATTAAAAGAGGTACAAGTAGGATGAATCTGTATACTAAATAATTCTGGAGACAAATAAAATGAATAAAATCAATCAAATAAAAATAGAACAAAATACAATGAGGGTACGAACTTGTAAAATAGTTAAGTCTAATGCACTTGTGAATAGATAGGTTTTTGTATCTGGATTTAAAAGGTGCAATGGAAGGAGACCATCCTAAGACCATGAGGTGGTTGGTTCCCATGCTGTTGCTGAGTAGGAACTAAAAACTGCTTCTCTATGTTTAGACCTTGTCCTGGGCACCACCAGCAGACCGAACACCAGTGATCTCAAAGGTCTCAGGGTTAGATTGCACTTATCATATTTGTTGTGTATTTGGAGCAGCTCCATGAAACAATTTGGAAGTGAGCAGTAAAACTTTATACTCACATTTTTTAAATCAACCCTGTGACAAGGAATTTAAGAACAGATTTATTGAATTGAATTGAAATGTGTTTTTTTTATGTGGTTTGGAGTGTAAGTATGACAACTCCTAATTTGTTGGATCTAGTTCTACAGCTAATATCCACTTCCCTCTTTCACTGCCAGACGCATCAATGAGAAGTCTGTGTGGTGTTGTGGCTGTCTGCCCTGCACACCTCTGCGGATCGCAGCCACAGCAGGACACGCTGTCTGCGTGGCCTATCTGATCGCCCAGGGAGCCGAGGTGGACCTAGTTGATGTCAAAGGCCAAACGGCGCTCTACGTAGCCGTGGTTAACGGTCACCTGGAATGCGCCCGGATCCTCCTCGAGGCCGGAGCGGATCCCAACGGAAGCCGGCACCACCGCAGCACCCCCCTGTACCACGCTGCGCGGGTGGGAAGGCTGGACATTCTGCAGGAGCTCATCCGGTGAGGACTGGTGATTTGCATCTGTGTTAAAACAGAACATTTAAATGTATTCTTACCTTTCATAAACAGGTTGAATGAGAGGAGTTTACACACAATACTGGAAAATATAATTTATCTCAGTCTTGTTTCGTGTCTCACGATTGAAAATTGGTGACAGGTAAGAGAATGTCTGTACAGTTGGGTCCATACGTATGGCACCGCTTTTTCATCCTGAGATCTTTGTTGTTGTTTTTTCAGTTTTGCGTCATCAACACACCCACTCACTTGCCATTATCCATCATCCTGAGGAACTCCTGCTGTTTTCCCCCACGGGCTCTTTCTGAATTTTTACTGTGGGTGCTAACTCCAGAGAAAGTCTGGAGCCTCTGACTTGGACATTTTCGTTCTCACAGATTATCTGGAGTTTATTTATATGTTTTATTTTTTGTTCTTGCAGATTGTGTAAAGGTTAACTTTTTGATCTGCAGGGTTTTCACTGCTCCAGGCAGAAGTTCTGTCACCTGACATTATTCAAAACATCAGTTCAAGGACAGTAATCAAATTAATATGAAGAAAACCTAAAGAGAAGACATACACTCTCTGCCCTCTACATACCATCTCATTTTGAATCTAGATGCATTCCTCAATATCAACATTTATGTACTCAAATTCAGTTCACATATTTATAGTGAAAATACCCTCTCTCAGGTGTTATCTGAAGATGTTAAACAAACAAGTTGTAAAACTATATCCATGGTTCTCTCTCTGTTCAGGTTCAATGCTGATGTAGACATGGACCACCAGCTGGGCCCTCGGCTCCTCTTAAGCGCCCGAACCCTCAACACTTTGGTGGTGTGTCCCCTCTACATTAGCGCTGCCTACCACCACCTCCACTGTTTCCAGCTGCTGCTCCAGGCCGGCGCGCAGCCCGACTTCAACTACAACGGGCCTGTCTGCCACGAGGCTCTGACCCGCGGCCTGGCTTCCTGCCTGCTGGATGCCGTGCTGCGTCACGGATGTGAGGTGGCCTTCATCCACCTGCTGCTGGACCACGGGGCCAACCCGGCTCTTGTGCCCTGGGATGAGTCAGCACTGGAGGCTCCTAATCGAAGAAAAGTGGATCCTGAGGCCCTCAGGATCTTCCTGGAGGCGAGGAGTGAGTAAAAATAATGTGTGGTTCAATAATTTGTGTGGATTTGAAAAGTCCCATTTGTGACTGTGAGTGACTGCGATGAATAACATGTGTCTAAACTCTCAAAGAGCTGCACATCATTCAGTAAAGAACTGACAGTCTAATACAGAGTGTGAATGAGTAGGAGTCATTTTGAACATAGAGGTGGTTGTTGTGAGAGTTGGCTCACTATCACACTGTCATGACCGACTGACCTGAGTACAGCAGAGCTACAGTTAATGTTATTTCTAACATTTGTGGATGTCCTACAATGACAAGTTGGAGGATGTTGCTCAGGAGGAGTGGGTTGTTCACTAACCAGAGGGTTGGTGGTTTGATCCTCGGCTCCTCCAGTCCAAAATACTGAACTCCAAATTGCCCCTTACATCTGTGCCGATAGTGTGTGAATAGTGTGTGATAGAAAAAAGGGCAGCATATAGAAGGTCTTTATGAATGTGCATGAATGGGTGAATGTGGTCATTACTGTAAATCACTTTGAAGGGTTGATAAGAATAGAAACATTTAGAAATACAGTCCATTTACAAGTTAAAATATCTGCAGTGGTTCAATGACTTCAACTCAGACATTTTATAATAACTCACAATCCTGAATCTTCCTCTTAAAGGTCCATGTGTAAGATTTAGGTGAAAGGGATCTATTGGTTATATAAAATAATCCTAGAGATGGTTTGACTAGATAGTTTCAGCTAAATTGTACAAATAGTTGTTTCTTTACCCTAGAATGAGCCCTTTGTATTTAAATACATTATATTTGCATCAGTAGTCCAAACTGGACAAACTCAACACCTTTTGACTTTTTATGACAACTGAAGGTTTTATTTCATGTTTTGAAGAGGAGGCTGAGATGAGGGGTATTCGGCTGAAACGTGACACTCCACCACTAGATGTCACTAAATTCTACACACTGAGCCTTTAATGCTTGTTAGAATTAACATCATCATCATTTCACACCACTCATTGACAGCTGAGACTATAAACCTCACATAGTAACTACATGACTGACAAAGGCAAATAAAAAAAGTTTCACACTGAGATAATTACATGATGATATGAAAGAAAAAATACCCTGTTATCATAATGCAGCTGCTAAGGAGCTCCCTCTTTTGCTTCCTCTCTTGTCAGGACGCCCTCGCAGGCTGACGCACTTGTGTCGGATCAGGATCCGTAAAGCGATGGGCAAGAGTCGCCTCATCCACATACCTTCGTTACCTCTGCCAGAGCCAATCAAGAAGTTCCTGCTTCACAGAAATTGACACCACGCAGCTTCTCGTCTTCGACATCCTACACAAACCTTCAGTCAATCTCAAATACAGGCCACACAGCTGCAAAACACCTAATTATTTTCTAATAATAAACTGCTCTTAATATAATTTCTTCAACACTCCTGTTCCTGTTCCTGTAATAATTGAATGAAATGCTTCCTAACTTATCGAAGAAGCCTCGCTGTGTCCTGTATTGTGGAAAATGTGTGTCTATATCCTAAATGTTTACCAGGAAATGTCATGGTCATACTAAATAGTGTGTTTAAGCTCATTTACCACACTGAGAATGTCATTTGTTTTGCTATTGAAACATGCCATGTAATAGATATCCACTTTAGATGCAGAGTAACATTGCTCCAGCTCCTTGGATTGCTCACTTATCTGTAGTAAACGTACATTTTCAACCGTTTACCAACTCTCAGCCAGAGTTCAGCTCATCATTGTTCAATTTAGCAGATCAGTAGCCAGTGTTATTATTTAGCTTCTCGTTATGCATTAGCCACGTGGATTAGCTTGACAACGTAAGGGCTGGAGCCTGCAAACTTCTAACTTCTAACAGTATAAACTGTGTTTACATTAGTGTGGGGTGGTGAACGATATTTTATTTTTTTTGCTGAATGCCTTAAGCTTAAATTTTGGAAAATTGACTTATAGACTGAACAAACCAGAACTACCAATGATAAAGCAGAACAATTACGTACATTTATGAAAGGAAAAACACATGTATTAATCTTAAATGAGCTGTTTAGGCTCCTGGATCCTGACCAAAACTAAATAAGCAAGTTTACAGTTACAATCAGAAGCTTTCAAACAGTTTTGTTAAAGCCAGTGAATCTTCCTCTGTTGACGCTCACAATCTGTTGAAAAGTAAAATGTATTTATGAAAGAATAGAATAAGTTTGTATTTATTGAAAAGAAAGCTGCCCTTTATGTGAGACTGTTATCTGTCTCATATGTTTACTGTTCAACATGTTGAAATGTCCATGCATTTTGCTTTGTATATCCCATCTTTATTTTCCATATGAAATGTGAATACTTCTACATTCTCTCCTGTGTGTTAATTGTTTAAAACCACGTGGGTGGGCTAATGTGCCACCAGAGATTCTTCGAAAGTAAGGTCACTTTCCGTGCTTCCTGTTCTGTTGGCCATCTCCTGAAATCTACATGAGCACATTGTTGCTCCTCCTTCACTCACAACCCGTTCCAAGATCTGCTCTAGTCCATTATATCTCTGTAAATGTCATGGATAGAGTCTGGAGTTCAGGTTTGGCAGAAAAGAGACCCCGTCCATCAATATCAGGGCAACAAACCCACAGGTGCTGCAGGCTTCTGATCCAGTGATCCAGATTATCATTTAGAACTAAACAATAACATAAGCCCTGATCTGACCTGATCAGAGTCACATGAAGCCTCTTCAAATAGTCGTTCTAACATGAGGGTCTGATTTTCTATCTTGCAGGGTTGTCTGGGAAAAAAGAAGAACTCTAGTCTTAGTAGACCCTTACCAAAACTTTGCGGCATCCTTATTAACCACTTTTAAATGATGTTTGAATGTGTCAGGTTATGGGAGTTACATTTAATAACAGTGTAAAAATAATTTCTATATGAGAGTAACTTTAGCAATAGTATTCCACTAAAAATAAAACAGGAGGGAAGTTAGTTTGTTAGTCTAGAGTTCCTGGCTCAAGTGAAATCTACATTTCATTTAGTGTTTTTTAGCCACACTAGCAGAGTGACTCCAGGGAAGACAGAGTAACTCTGTCAATATGAATGGATTGCCACGATCAGTGTTGACATTTTAGGATTTATAGTGAAATTTACAAAATGATAGCTTAGGCCTATGTGGTTATGTCATCTGGAACAAATACTGCAACTATATGCACCATCAGGATGAATTGATGAACTAAAAACAGTCTCAGCGGCTTCCGCGTAGTTAGTGTGTATTTAGCCAATGTTTGCAAGTCAACACACAAAACCAACATGCTGAGCATGTTAGAATGCAGATGTTTGCTCCATTGTGTTCAAACACTGTGCCTCATAGAGCCGTTAGTTAGTTAGTTAGTTAGTTAGTTAGTTAGTTAGTTAGTTAGTTAGTTACGTGACTTGATGACATGTTCCACTATGTTTTGCTGCGTTACATTTATTGCGTTACACAAAGCACTACACATCATTGCACGATAATAATAATAACAGTAAGAATCCAGTACATCTCATTAACATGAAACATAGACTATCAGTAAAGAGCTGGGTTCGCAGTGGCATCCTGTCTTTTTTAGTGCTACTATGGCTGCAGGCACCAGGCTAAAGCAGGCCCTGTTGCAGCTACTGTCCTGTACCTGTGTCCTGATGTTGCAGTGGCATTTGAATTGGTGAATGACTTCATGTTGTATTGAGGTTGGGATGCATGTAATGGGTTTAGAGTTGAGTTCCAAGAAGTTGGGTTTGTGAAGAACTAATGGTCGTAAATTTAAGTTTTAACCCAGAGACTTATCAGCCACTCAACATGTTTTGTGAACTAAACTGATCATTAAAATGGTTGACAGAGAAATATATCTATTTCCTGCAGCCTTGCGTTTTGTCTGATTGTCCCTATTTATCCCAGAATTTGTGATGGGGTGCTCCAAAGGAAGTAATAAAATTAAACACAATAATGATGAAGCTCTGGATGGGGGCATTTATTATTGTTGTTTAACTGATAATGAAGCCAAGATAATGATGGTTGAGAAAACCACAATTTGGTGAAAACCCAACTGGCCCAGTGGAAAAAGCCGAGCCTGGGAACCCTGAGTGGAAGCAGCAGGGGCAGATGAGGACTCTCTGTTCAAAAAAAGCTCTGGCAGAGACCTGAGAAGATGCACTGGGACGCTTTCTGCAAACGCCTGGGGCAGAATGAAAGGTTTTCTATCCTTAGCAGAGGACAGTAAAATGTTTGTGTGTGAGCTTGTGCACAAAACTGTCACATGAGGGCTCTAGATGGCACTGTCCTCCTTTCAAGCATGGCAGACATGTCAGTGTCTTCCAATATCTCTCCTCTTTCTCTGTCTTGCATTTCATTTTCATCTTTGCCTTTGTCCGTCTCACTTTGTCTCTTTGCCCATTTCCTTCCTTTCGTCAGCCTCTCCTCAGTTTGGTGCAGAGGATTCAGCTGTGAACCTCAGCATGTGTCCTCAAGGGCCTCATCCCTTCAGATGTCATTAAAGCGACTCTTTCATTAGCAGAGCACACAGAGGAACACAGAGCGAGCTTCTTTTGCAATGGTCCATGAGTGCAGCGGAGATTTGGACAGTTTGGTGAACCGCTATCTTCCTGTGGGGAGTTTCCACTGCCACAGGCTTCTCTTTCAAGTCAAACTTATTTTATGTAACAGTGCATTTAGAAGAGCAACCTACTAGTTTTGTTGTGGACATACTTTTATAAAGATATTGCATTAGATTTTACATAGAGCATTGTATTCCTAAGTGAAATATCACTGCAGAGGTGAGACAACTCTTAATTTAAAGATAGTATAAGATCCAAGTGACACTTTTCCTTTTTCAAAGCACATGAACTTCACTGTCACTGGCTCAGTGGTGAATGCTTTGCAGCTGAAAACTCCATCATTAACACAATTCAAACACTGAAGCTGTTTTCTTTGGTCTTGAGGAGAAACAGCGATGGTGAAAATGGTTTGTTTCCTCAGAGAATCACTGCGAGCCTGGAAAAAGCTGAATGGTGGTTTTCATTCCTCAGTTTATTTGAACCTCAAACTGCAATCAAAGGTCTGAGCAACCTCTGCTAATATCACCGCAGTGTTCCGCCTCAACTGGGGACCAGCGTGCCACTCGCTTCACAAGGCCACCGCAGCTTTTAGACGAGGATGAGGTTGTTTCCATGGATGTGGTGTTTTCATATAAACTTGTCTTGGTGTGTGTGTGCTCATTAGTCTCACAAAGGTGTTGGCTGTGTTTTTTTGATAGATATGAAAGCCCTGCGTCAGTAAAAGACAGGGAAAATATGTGTTTGTTTAGATGAAAACTCACCTGTAAGTTGTTATAGTTCAACCACAGTCACTGGTGTCTACCTCTTTATCAGGCTGCCTGTTCTCCTGCACTTGTGCTGGCAAGTAACCTGTTTGGTAATTGGCACGCACTTTAATTTGAATGATCTCATCCCTGAGGCTTTCCGGAACGACATCACTGCGTGTTTACCACTGCTGCAAACACATGGACACACACACACATGGACACACACACACACACACACACACACACACACTAAGGTATTGTACTTCTGACCCAATGCAATCGGAGCTTGATCAGCCTCAAGCTTCAAACTCTCGTATTGCTGCTGCACAGCAAGGGTGAAATTAGTCAAAACACAGAGCAGCTTAACGTGACTCACTGAGATCACATGAGAGTTTGTCGTCCTGCGGTCCAAGAAAAGCAACCTTTTCCGCTTGAGCTCATGACATATCGATTGAACAGGAAAGCCTGGGTGTTGGCGAATGAGCGCATAAATATTGATAATTTTTCACTCTCGTGTCACGCTTTAACCCAGCACATGTGGATTACAACTCCACGTCCGGAAGCACTTTTCCTCCATTAAGGCCGTCTTGCTCTATAAACGGCTCGACCGGTGCTCTGCTGCAACACTCGCAGGGAAGTCCTCCAGCTTTATTGATATAATTAAGGAGTGCATGGTTTGGAAATATTGGAAGAATCTTTACTTTTAAACGTGTGTTTTAATTAAAAACCTCAGAACAACATAATGAGTCTCAATTTGACTGGTTTCCAAAGGAGCCGGTGGTCATGAAATGTGGCAGGGACAGGAAGGATGTGAAGTGATTGCTTCTGTAATTACTGTCACAGTCTGTAACTTTGACTCTTATACTTAATTAGTTCCTTCTCATTTGAGTGATGTTTGGGCATTACATGCGTAGCCTGCTGCGGCTTTGTATGGTTTGCTTTTTTAAAAACAATGAGGCTGTAGAAACTCAGAGGAAAAGCCTGGAAGCAGCTGTTCTCAGTGTGAAATTTAAACAGACAGAAAAATGACATATTGCATTATCCATATACACTCATTAGCAGTGATGATCGGAAATGAGCAGTGGAGCTATGTGTGGAAAGCAGACCTATTGGTTGGTTCTGTTCTTGCTTCCCTCCGTTATAATACTTTACTTTAAATGCTGCTAATTAGGCTTTATAAGGCATCATCGGTTCATTATGAAAAGTTCCCTGGATTTACACCATGGTGAAAGACATCCTGGTTCAACACTCAAGCTATAACATAACACAAAAGTACACTTATAAAGTGTTTTTTTCCAAAATAGTGGCTATGAAAGACACAAATACAAATAAATGAATACAGTTTGGAATGACAATGGTTATTTATCTTTTCTATGTTTATTTATTTCAACATTTCTACACTTCTTATTTATTTATGCATTTATTCATACATTTTAGTCAATTTCTATATTTATTTATTGTTCATTTCAATATGTATTTATGTGATTATATATTTCTACATTATTCCATAATGTATCTATTTCTTTTTTTATTTACTTAATTATTTTTATGAATTTGGCATAATGCATTTCCTAACCTCTAAGTATTTAAGGTGGGGGTACCCATTTCAGGAGGCTACGATCCATGCAGCTCCAGGAAACGTGAGAAGCCCTGTCTAAGGCAATCACTGAGAAAAAGTCTCCATGACAAGAAGCAGCCTGGTTCTGCTCACTGTGAAGGAGATGAAGGACTGTGAGGAACAGTGGAGGACCAGGTATCTAGAGAGAGACCTGCACCAGGAGAAGGCGCAGAAAGAGGAATCCAGCAGCAAGGCTCCCGTCATGGAGAAAGTGAACCTACTGGAGGCTGAAAAGTACCACCTCAAAGAGGACCTCACAAATAAGGATTTCAAGCAGTAAAGAAAAGGTGAGCCTGGGCCAAGAATCAAAGCCTAGAAGACAGAGCCGGCAGTGACGGGAGAAACCAACAGCAAGGTGCATGCAGATGAATGGATGAGGAGGGAGGAAGAATGGGGGAAGAGGGAGGGTGAGACTGATG